ACAACAGTCAACTGTATTATAAAAATGTAACTGCAATTTCACTGTTCATAGCCCTGGAAAGAAACAGTTGCTAACATTGGTTTATCTTTTCTATTTTAATTTCTATAAAAACATGGCAGACAAAGACAATTGTAATCTGTTTCAATAATATATTGGTCAAAACCATAATTGCTAGTATGTTAAGTCTAATGTGGTGCAGCTACAACTCCCATACATTCATTCATATAGAACGGGGTCATATCAAAAATTAGAATGACTCAGTTCAATCTCTATGTTGTGCATGTAAAACACTTTAATTAACAGAAAATCTCAATTTTCAAAGACCCAAACCACATTATGTCACAGAAATTAATCTGAATTTTTATATAAAATCAAAGCTATTAAACCATGATAGTGATATGGCGTACAATGTTTAAAGTTTGGTGGCAGGAAATAAGACAATTTGAATTCAATATATCAAAATTTTTAAAAGAAGAAGTAATGAAAACAAAATTACATATAAAAATTAAAGTCTGTTCATGAGATATAATATAAAAGGATCTCACAGGGATATGTTGGATAAGAAAAGTTTAGGATTCTTAGCAGGTTCATCCAAAATCTCGACTACATCCAACCAAAATGTTCAAGATTCCAAGTGGTTTTATCCAAAATCTCAAAGTCTACGTCCCTGTGATGGTTGGATATTATTGAGACATAGGATTATGATATATAGATCTCCAAATGCCCCTTTTTATAACAAATACATAAATAAACTGTACCATTAGAAAATGACAACAGTAAAAAACATGGTTAATAAGTTGTCCTGTATTTCACTTCAGTGTTGTTATGTTTTTCTGGTTCTCTGTAATCATTGATTCCAGTACTTTTAAGTGTTGAAAATTGAGTACAGCTTAAGTCGGTGCTAGGGGGCGTGAGGGATGTTGCACTTTTCATTATTGCTCATGTACAGAATTAATCAAGTGAGTCTGAAGTTTTCATGTAATTTTGTTGTGATTAATGCTTATATTTACTTTCAAATTAAAAAAAAACACTGCTTTGGAATTTTACTGTTACTGTTTAAAATTAATTTTAAAATATTCAGTTTTTAAACTTCCTATCATATGTTTAATGTATTAAATGTGGTTCATAATCCACAATGACCTATTTTAAACAAACCTTTCAATTAATTTGTTTATAATAAACATCTTTCAATGTCTATGCAATGCAGTAACTTCGGTACTTAAAATTAGAGTTAGTGCAAAAACTATGGTAAGTGCACTTACATCACTTTTTGCATTTAAAATCACAGTGCAAAAAGTCATGTAAGTGTAGAAGAATGTCTAATTACTTTTTATCCATAAATGAATAATTGTAATGTTTAAAACCAATTTAATAATACTTATTAATGATATTTTAACATTATTGTCTGGAATTAAAAGGGTTTACTCAAAATGAACAAATCAGTTTTTTGTGTCTCCTGTAAAATTTCAAAAATGTCAGTAACAGTACTTTTTGCGCCAAGGTGACGATATGCGGTAACCATTGAAACTGCCCGTTTACAAATATTGTTACAAGTCAACATATATTTTATTTTTGAATTAACCATAAAATGTTACTTGATATATCAAAAATGTAGAATATTCAATGAAAAAAATGTTTCGATATTTTTTAATTATTTACAGAATTCATGTTAATTGTTCTCATTTTTCGTTCAGTTAAAAGGCGTGAAAAACTCATTTTTAAAAGAAATATATAAAGATTATTGTTTGTTCATACAGAATTATTGGATAATGTTATATTTGTATAAAATTGTGCTTGTTGTGTGACATAAGCTATCTAATACATTTTTATAACAGTGTGGCTACTTTGATACTTTTGTGATATTTACTGTTACTATGGAAACTGCCATTTTATAAAAAATCCAACTCTTCAACATATAGTTTTCTTTTTATTTTTGAATTCATCATTAAATTTACTTATAATTTTTTTTTTAAATTCTATGAAAGATATTGTTCGATATTGCTAAATATTTACAGAATTCATGTTTATTTTTCTCATTTTTTGTTCAGTTAAGAATCTTGAAAAAACTCATATTTTAAAGAAATATATTCAGATTATCATTTGTTTCATACAGAATCATAAGATAAAGTTATCTCTGTGTAAAATTGTGCTTGCCATATGTATTAAGCTGTCATATACATGTTGTTTTTTTTTCTAAATAACAGTATGGCTATTTTGACTGTTTTGATATATATGGTTACCATGGAAACTGCCATTTTACAAAAATCCAACACGTCGACATATGTTTGTCTTTCTATAATGGAATTAACAATTAAATTTTACTTATCATATAAAAAATTTAGAAAATTCTATGAAAGGATTATTTTTTTCTTAAACTGTAGAAAATGTTTTAATCATTTGAATGTTAAAAATTTGCTAATAAATTATAAAAAGGACAATAATATCATACCTGTACTTTATTTGATTGGTTTTGTAATGGTCGCAGGATTTTGTTGTATTTTGTGTCATTGAATAGATGTCCAACTAAATCATTCATTTCCTCGTATGTTTGTCCTAGCATTATCGCTAAATTACAAGCAATTAACATACCAACATATAACACAAGCATCTTGTTGTGTTATTTTAAAAAAAAAAAACAAAAAAAACTTATATACAGTTTAAGATAAAACTTTGTCGAAACTTTACACCATTGCAATTATTCCTATTCAGCACTTTATATGATACACTTTCATTCTCTCCCACCTGTTGCGTTCAAAATGCTAAAATGTAGCTGATGGAATTTTACAACAAAATTAAAAAAAAACTATCCTGTTGAAAAGGAACATTAATTACTCAGCATAGTAATGCATGATCTGATATGGCAAGGGTTATTGATATTTGCGTGGTTGTAAAACAATAAAACCTATAATATACTACTTCAGCACAATGTTTATTGATTGAGTTCTTTATTGGATCGGGAAGGAATCAGTTACAACTTAGAGGACAGGTTTATTACCAGAATCATGGCACTAACTAGTACTAGTTCTGTGAATGTGTAAAAAGAAACAAGACAACATACAAAAAACAACAGAAAATAAAGGAAAAAACAAATGAAGCGAAAGAAACAGACCTAAATCAAAAGCCTTAACGACCCCCTGAATTAGACGACTCCCTGTCATATGCGACGCTATTTTTTGCCCCCGACGCAATTTACTATTAATTTAGACTGAATTAAGCGACTCCCTGTCTTACGCGACAAACGACTGTGAAATCCGGGTCCCGATCCGCTTTTCAGACTGTTTTTACCGACTTTGAGACGCTCCCCAGAAAATTTATTCACGAAAGAGTTATCTTTCGTTATCTCGCGCGATGTTATTTGTGACGAGATTCAATTTGTTTACAAAACATGGCGGCTGAAAAAAGCAAAAAAAGAATCGTTTTAACACTTGAACAGCGTGTTAAGGCCCTAGAAATGCTGGATCGGGGTAAACCAGCGTACAAAATTGCTCAGGACTTCGGTGTTGGTAAAACGCAAATTCAAAATTTACGCAAAAGGAAGTTGGAAGTTTTATCTGACTTTGAAAACAATGTTCCTGGTGAAACAAAGAGACGTCGATATCTCACAGGAAATGAGGAAGTTAACACATTAACTTATGAATGGTTTAAAGATGCTGTTAATAAGAGAGTAAACATCACAGGGCCATTAATACAGGAGCAGGCCCTCAATTTTGCAGCAAAACAAGGAAATACGTCATTTAAGGCCTCGAAAGGTTGGCTTGAGAGTTTCATTAAGAGACATAATATTTCATTTGGGTCTATGAGTGGTGAGAGGGGCGATGTAAAGCAGTCAACAATTTCTGAATGGACAGAAAAATTACCTACATTATGTGCAAACTATAAACCAGAAAATATTTTCAATATGGATGAAACGGGTTTATTTTTTCGTGACAGTGGACGTAAGACTTATCGATTAAAAGGTGATGATTGCGCTGGAGGGAAAAGATCAAAGGAGCGAATAACAGTGGCTTTGTGCTCTAGTTTTACCGGCGAGAAGATTAAGCCTCTTGTTATTGGTAAATCTCGTAACCCGAGGTGTTTTGGTAGAATGGACGTGAAAAGTTTGCCAGTTGATTACTTTTTTAATAAAAAAGCGTGGATGAACAGTTACATTTATGAAGAATTCCTGAAGTCACTAAACAGAAAAATGAAAAGTCAAAACAGAAACATTTTACTATTTGTCGACAACGCACCTTCACACCCCAAGATCAACTTGAGTAATATTAAAGTTTTTGCCGGCCAATACAACGTCTGTCACACAACCAATGGATCAGGGGATAATCCAGACAGTAAAACTCAAGTTCAGAAAACGTCAGGTAGGTTGTTTTTTCCGACATGAAAAATCACACACACATTATTTGAAGGCTAGAAAATCAATTTTAATTCTGCATGTAATAATTTCCTTTTTTGATTTGCAATAGAAATCTGCTTTTAATGTATAAATGCTAGTGTTGAGGTCAGGTGGATAATTATTTTTGTCTTATTGTCAAATTTAATCTGCTTTTATGTAAGGCAGCATACTTTTAAGGTATCAACATGCGTTTTAACACATTTTTCTTTGTACATTTCAGTTACAACATATGATACGCGGTATGGAGCACCATCCAGCTATGCAGGGCAGTGAGCTTCTTAAACAAATAACAATCTTAGATGCAATTTACTGGCTCAGCAATTCATGGTCAGAAGTCGAGGGAAGCACAATTGTAAAATGTTTTTTAAAAGCTGGATTCAGTTTTGATTGTGATTATACAAATAGTTCGGGCAGTGCTCTTTCTGTTACTGGTGTTGATGCCAGTGACGATGAGGATGATGAGGATGATGTCCCGTTAGCAGTAATGCAAATGTAACACGAGCTTTTTGGGTGCGATTATAAAGACCTCACCAGAATTGATGAAGAATTGTTAACATGCGAAATACAAAATTCAAACTGGGATGCACCAATTGAAACTTTACTTTCACAATTTATGCAAGAAAATTGTGCTTTCTCTGCCGGCATTGATGGTGATGATGATGACAGTGATGACAATGATAATGATTCATCAGTAAATGTACCGACTTACTCTGAGGCTTGTGACTATGTTAATAAACTTAAAACCTTTGCGGTCAGTTTAGGAAATCAGACACTGGTTGATAACATTGTCAAATTTGATGATGAGCTGTGCAACGAGATCTTGAACAAACCGAAACAAACACAGATTACTGATTTCTTTGAAAAGAGAACAGTGTAATTTAATATTTTAAGTCACCATAAGATATGCATTTAATATGAATTTTAATTAGTGTTACCAAGAGACAATGAGTTTAATATGAATTTTAATTAGTGTTTTCAAAGACAATGCATTTAATGTGATTTTTAATTAGTGTTACCAAGAGACAATGCATTTAATATAATTTTTATTAGTGTATAGATAGCTGAACTTTATCCAGTGATACATTTTATTTTTTTAACTCCCTTTAACTGTCCTTTTTAATGATCTTAAAGTAAACAGGTAACATTTTAATGTTTTCAATGGTTTTATTGTTTATCAAATAACATTGTACTGTATTTTTAATGTTTTATCTTTTTAAATGCAATAAAAGAAATAGTTTAAAGCCAATTATCACTTTTATCTTAATACCATGTATGTATTTCAATGAAATAAGTCAATACTTAGCTATACATGTACATATCCATGTACATTTTTAAACCAATGTTGGCAAATTTGGCAAGACTGTTTTAAGAGACTCCCTGTCATATGTGACCTTTTTTTCTTGTTTCCGAAAGTATGTCTCTTAAAACAGTCTCGACTGTATTTGTCGGCTGTTTTTTATGCTTTTTAATGACACAATGAACAAAATCACATTCCATTTGGGAATGTCCTTTTGTAGGCATTTTTGTCTGTAGTAGATAAGTGATCCTGTAGATATGATTTAAATACATTTGCTGTTAACTCTCCGTCACACTCATTATAACGTTGCGGGTTGCAAAATAGATAAATACGGATTCCCTAAAGAAAGCCCAACACGGCAAAATTGAAAATGTTGCAGGCTCGGTTTGATTGAGCCTGTTCATGGACGGTACTGGAAAGTGCAAGTTACCGTCCACGCCCCCTTAAGCAGAATTCAACATTTAAACATGAAATGGTAAAATTTTGAATTTAGAAACATCCGCAGATGTTTTCATACGGCAGTTATCATGGAACCTTCAACGTGACACTACCGTGCCATTCCATGAAAAGCGGCGTATGGTCCCCAAGTAATAAAAAGCGTGTGCCCTAAACGAGAAGGCAATGGGCGGAACTAAATAAAATGGAATTTGGAAAGGGGATCAGAGGTTATGAAGCCTAAGTATCACAGATAAGACGTCAAAAGACAAAAATAAAAAGCAGGCAACATATCCTAAGGGGGATTCAACATTATTCCAGTAGGAATATTGGAACCACCAAACTAGAAAAAGCCGAAAAGTTAAAACTAAAAATACCACAAGCACAACAATAATGTCGCGCTGAACGATCTTTAAGGATCGGAAATATAACATCATTGATTAAATGTACGGGGAGACTTTTTACAGCCGCCACACGGCACAAATAACACGGATGTGATCATAAAATAGATAAATACAGAATCCCTAAAGAAAGCCAAACACGGCAAAATTGAAAATGTTGCAGGCTCGGTTTGATTGAGCCTGTTCATGGACGGTACTGGAAAGTGCAAGTTACCGTCCACGCCCCCTAGCACCGGCTTAAGCAGAATTCAACATTTAAACATGAAATAGTAAAATTTTGAATTTAGAAACATCCGCAGATGTTTTCATACGGCGGTTATCATGGAACCTTCAACGTGACACTACCGTGCCATTACATGAAAAGCGGCGTATGGTCCCCAAGTAATAAAAAGCGTGTGCCCTAAACGAGAAAACAATGGGCGGAACTAAATAAAATGGAATTTGGAAAGGGGATCAGAGGTTATGAAGCCTGCGTATCACAGATAAGACTTGAAAAGACAAAAATAAAAAGCAGGCAACATTTCCTAAGGGTAAAGTCGAAAATGGTGTAGTTTCATCTTGTAATAGATTCAACTACCATTAATTTAAGAGCAAATCAAAACTTTGTTAATCAACACTAAGGACTTTAATGAGATTCTTTCTGTCCGTGTCCTATTCTTTCCTCTCTTTTCCAAGTGCATGCCTCATACGCTGTATGTGTTCGTCATATTCTGTATACAGCTTTCCTTTTCGGCCTTTAATAATTTAGGTTGAGTATATTGAACAGTTTTGTGAACTGTGCCATTTTCAGTGATTGTTTTGATTCTTCCTCCATCTTCCGTTTATATTCAGCATTTAAATCTCACAAGGTGACAAATTATAGTTTATGGTAATGTTTATTAGGTACGAATAAAAATATAATGGAAAATATTGTCAAACCGCTGAGTATTAAATTCCGGCGGTATGATATATAATGATTGAAATGTTAAAGTCTTTAACTGCAAAGATACTAATACTGAATAAATGAATAAATAACGAAAGCACAATATTTAACACAATATTCAATTTCAATCAGATTTATAAAACAGGTTAATAATAAAAATGACGGAGAAAGATTTTCTTTTCGATCAGTCCAAAATGATATTTCAAACAGAGTTCGTATTTGTATTTATTGAGGATTGTTTTTAAAAAGCTTTCAAATTGTTTTATGTTCATCAATAAAAAAAACATATATTTTGAAATAGCTTTATTCTCCTGTGCATGTGTTTCGTCCTTCGAGATACTTGAATTCAATAAAATAATCAAGTCGCTCTATAACCGATGCTGAGTGATTATGGCTGTAGTACATTTAGTAATACATTTAGCACTATTGTTCATTAGCAGATCTAATGAAACTATATCTGCAATGTTTACTTATTACTTAATTTTCACTGTAACTGATGAATCCCCATATCTCAAAATTGATGTTATAAAATGTTCTACACTTGTATTGAATTTATCGTATTGTTAGGTATTTTAGATTAAACGTTCGATAATTATGGCTTTGTTTTCAGTCCATTCAATCAAGCCTCTAAAATCAGAATTTAATGGTCCTGGTATTTCCTTTGTGAATATACAAAAAGCAATTCTCAAGAGTACTTTATTCCAACAATTAACAACTGGCATGGAATGAGTTATAAATTGATATCACTATAGAAATAAATAGAATAAGCGCATGTGCTTGAAAAAGAAATGAATGTACTTATTGCGCAAGCACAATTAAAAAACAGCAACAACCGACTTGTGTAAAAAACATTTAATTTTACCTTAAACAAGAGTATGTTTTAATTAAGAAATTTAACAAATAAAAATTGGTAAGCTATCAATTGAACAGACAATAAAAACGACAGGTAATTATTACATCAGATACTTCACAATATTAACCACAAAGAGATATTTGTTCTATACTCATCAAAAATGTAATCACGTAAACTAAAGATACTAAACTATATGTGCATACCTACCATACTTATGTAATATAAATTATAGACAAGTGAAAAGTCTTGAAGCAGATCTTCACCTTATTTCAGAAAGATGCTTCTGATGAACTGTTTTTCAAGTAAAAGACAGCTATTCATTTATCCATTAATGTGACGAAATATTTTATGGTTTTAACGAGTGTTACTAAAGTACCATATGAAAACAACTTCTTACTAAATAACAACGCATACGATATATATTGTTTTTACTTTAAGAAATTTCTCTAAGAAAAGAAGAAAATGACTTCTTATTAAACACATTTGTTTAGATAAATATATAAATGCATAAATACGATTTTATTTGATGTTTCGGAAGAAAACCATAAGCCCAAGGATGGCTCATCATATTTCAGTAATCGTCGTTATGGCACATTGTAGTTTAAGTCAAATGAGGGAGAGAAAGTCACAAAAACCAGTCCCAACCATAAATATACTATTCCGACATCCAAGTAAATATCTGGTATACTTTTCACATTTTAATCTTGATTCTGACCTTAACCTTAAAGCTGGAGAATTTATTCTTGCATCAAGTACAAATATTGTGTATGCCAAGTTATTCTTAGTTATTTTAAAATGCGGGAATGGCAAAATTATTAACCGGTCACAAACGTTATTGCTTTTTATAAAGTACGGCCTAGATCTTTGAGCTACAGACTTGGATTTATGTGTTACATAGTGATGAAAATATTTCAAAATCTATCCATAAATGTCAAAGTTATTGACCGGACACACACAAAGTGTTGACGGACGGAAGGACTAATGGACAGAAAGATGCTGCAAAACTAAATGCCCACCGAACTTTATTTTGGCGTGGAACAATTTTATTCCTTTTATATACATAACTTGCAGTTGTACTGTTCGTACCCTTACATGTAAAACATTATATTAAAATGTGAAAGTCCAAAAAAGTCAACGCATTCTTGTTTCTCACAGGAACACTTTCGTAGAGCATCTGTACTTTGGAAAGTATCGTGTTAACTGTTATATAGGCTTTTCAGACTTTTCTATCAGCCAATCTTAACAACATAAATTACTTTACTCATGAACTTCTACGAAATATAAAACAAGGCAATATCAGTAGCTTACACTACTATTTTATATTGACTCATGTGATTTGAATGGTGAAACAGGTACAATGGTAGTTACTACAATCAATAATTAATTCTGGGTTGTTCGTCACCAGTATGCAATACAGATGAAATTAGTTCTAGAAAAATGTTCTCATAAACGTGTCATTGGATTTAGTATAATAGCGCTTATGATTTGTAAAAATTAATTAAATTAAGGATTTTTTAAGCAGTAGATTATGCAACCCTAGATATAAACTTATCACTACATGTTAATTATGGATAAAATAACATTGTTTATGATAATATTAAAAGCTCTTGAGACATCGCTTGGACAAACATACACTGAAATGGACTCTTTGCTAGGACATCTTTTCAATGAGACAAGATATAACAAAGATCTTAGACCTTTAGAAAACCAAAGTCACGTAATTCAGGTAATTATATTACATTTTGTGTGTTATTTTTCTTTTCTCATTGCTTTATTATTCCCCCCTATGCAACATAAACTACTTTTTAATAAGGTCTTTGAAAGTGCTTTGTGACTCTAGTAATTCTTCTAGGTGTTTATCGTCGTGGTCTTTGGTCTGGTCTTAATTTTTTTTAAAAAAGTTGACGGCTTTGTCTCTACGTGTAGATATATGTTCAACACACTTATGACAAGTCTATTAAAAAGCTAAATTTAAGGTGTACGAATTATTTTTATTTATGTTATAAACACTTAGAATCAAATTATTAAATAAACATAATAAAAATATATACAATGAACGGTATGATAACTTGAAAAACATAACAAAAGTCATCTGGTTATCCGGAACTCGGCAAATGTGGGGCTTTCCAAGCTAATCCCCCGGTTGTAGCTTTACGGTACACTACCGGTCACAATACAAAATTCACCATTCGAAGCTGTAACTGTATAAGATTGTATAATTTTATTTTTGCTGGGGAAGAAACCCAAAATATTCTTAATTCCGGTGTAAGTTTATTTTGTAAAGGTTTTTTATACGTTTTGTCCAGTTTGAAATAATTTTCCTGAGAGTAAATGCCGTGTATATGCGAAATATAAAGTTTAAAAATGTCCGATCTATTTTCATGAAAGAAATATCTTAATTCTTTACAATTTTCTTTTGATTTAACCAAGTCGGCGACTGATATTGAAAATACACAGTTCATTCATAAATTCTATAGAAATAAAAAAAGAAGTATATGAGAAAATTCTATAAATCCGAGAGCAAAATTTAAATATATTTTTACAATGTAAGTTATGTTGGCAGTTTATCTTTGCATTGATATCTTAAATATGTTTATCGTATGTATTATCAGCTACAGAATAACAAATTCAAAATTATTTTTCCGTGACCTGTTGTAGGTAAACTTTACACAGTATGTAAAAAGCATCGAGAATCTAGACATCTCGTCAGGAGAGCTTCTTATAACTGGATACTTCGAAATAAAATGGACTGATGAAATGTTGACTTGGGACCCTGCTCTTTTTGGAGGTAGAGAAAAAATACAGTTGCCCAAAGATAAGTATTGGAAACCAGAGATTTCCTTAACAGACGGACCGGCAAATGAGGACACTTCAATTTATGGGAGCGGCTTCTATCCCGCGTGGGCCACTTACCAAGGGATAGTAATGGTCATTGCTGCAGGCAGTTACAAGACGAAATGTATTGTTGACACAACATTTTATCCTTATGATATGCACTCGTGTTATTTCCAGTTCATCGTGTCTAATCATGACTCTACAGAACTTATGATATCTTCTCCTTCACCCGATATTCATTTTAGAGATTTCAAAGAAAATGGTGAATGGGAAGTTATAAGTACAGATACAAATGTAATGCTGGTAAAAGAGAAAAACATAGACAGTGTTGCTATACCAATGTATCAGTCATCGTTTTTGTTAAAAAGAAGGTCCAAATTTGAAATGATAAATTCACTTACACCGATCATGTTTATGTTATTTCTGAATATTGCAACTTGCTTTGTTCGCCCTGAATCCGGTGAAAGGACAACGTTTGCAATAACGCTATATTTAGCATTAGTTTTTGCAGCAACATCATTAACAGAGACAATACCTAGAAATTCATTAAAAATGCCGATGATTTCGTATCAACTGCTTTCGGTTAATATCATCAACACGGTTGGCGTTTTATGGAGCATATTTATTGTTAATTGTGCAAGTAAATCTGTGGCTCATAGATATGTGCCAAACTTTCTTCTGAGGATGATTACAAAAAGGAGACAGAAAAGCAAAAACAATAGTAAAATGGTTCCTGTGAAAAATTGTAAAATGGTTTCTGTAGATTCAGTTGTATCGATATTGCCTGTTGAGGGTACGGATATTAGTGATGGTCAAAAGGAAGAAGTATGTAATGAACCACAATCTGCTGAAATAACTGGACACGAGGTGGCGGAAGTTCTCGATACAATTTATTTCTGGATGATCATTATTTGTATTACTTTAGCAAATGTCATTTACAGCGCATTTGTGTACAAAAGTTGGTTCAGTTAGATGCATCAGAGATTAGTGTTCCTTTCGTAAGAAACACGCTCTCTTAGCCAAGTGAGTCGACTGGTCGTTTGTCTCTCATCGCTAACTCAGAAATAATTTGTGATTGGAAGTTGGTAACTTATGGAAAATTAGTTATTGATTGCTGATAATCCAGGAAAGCCGGTTAGGTGTGTCAACGGTCGGATATGACCAAAATTATGCTTTAATCGGCTGAAATAAAACAGAGACAAAAACTGTAAACTGAAGTGACTTTTTAATTGCACAGCTTATATGTTAAATGACTTGTACTCAATTTCAATACTTTTTTGCAAATGACAAGTTCGGGTCTATATCAAAGCATAAAGTATAGAAAAACAATCAAACAACAAAAACAACACAAATGTATATAATAACAAATATCCTACTGATAGATTATTCTTTGAAAAAAAGTTCATATTTCAATCTGAAATCAATTTTATAAATTCAATTTCATGAAATGCTAGCATTATCAATAATTTTACTCAAAGCATTGATGACTGTTTACTGATTTTTCAGACAAAAAGTTAATATAATTTTGTTTTGCCAACACGATTAACTGATATCATTTGAGATATTTCACTTAATTCGAAAATCTTTGTGGCAAATTAGAAACAAGGCATTTTTATTAAACAGTCAATTATCACAGAAACGCTTGGAATTTTAAAGGAAATCCACAGAAGTCTTTCGATATCACGATACAGGATTTTGTTCGTAACATTTGATGTTCTTCTGAACAAATTACTTTTGTGCCAACCTTTAAATCATTTGCTTGGTTCTTATTTTCCAGAATAATTATACCCTAGAAATCAAAAGAGTTCCAACGTTCTTAATCAAATCGAGCTAAGAATCACATACAGTTGTGCTTGCAATTTAATTCTTATAACATGTTTATATCATTTGCATATCTTCTTCGTTTGAAATTGAGCTACATAAGAATAAAAGCATAAATTTATGATTTTTTTATGCTTTGGACCTCAGTAGAGTTCCTTGATATTGTGTTCTTTTTTAAACAGCTTATAAATGTGACGATGTTCTATATTTTGATAATGTTACTTGTCCTTTTTGCAATGATTATTCCTCTCCTCATATTCCCTTTGCATAAGTATTCAATACATACCAAAATGTTTTCTTTGCTTTAAAATCCCAATGATTTGGGATATTTGGGCTTTGTTAATAATAATTGTATCATTTGAACTGATCATGCTCAAAAGCCGTTTTGTGTGTTTGTTGTTTTAATATTCAGTGTTACACTTTGAATAAATTATGCAATAAACTTGTTATCGGTTCATATCATATGTATCAATCTAGGGTCTTAAGAAAAACAAAAATAGCATCAGCTCGGGTCATCAGTCAAAATATTTGCATTTAACCAAATTCAGGTGGCGATACCACGTGACATTAATGATTCAAAAAAATTTTTTTTTGTCCGAATCAGGTATGTTTTTATCAATATCGTTCCTGATTAAACCCAGCTGATTTGGAAGAGATAATTTGCAGAGTATCCGTTCTTGTAAAAGCTAACCACAGTATACCAAGCTTACGAAACCCCTTGAATTGTTTTGGAGGACATTTATGTACAGTTACTTTTTATAACTGTGACAGAAGGATAGATAAACACTCGAAATAAAAGCAAACATAATTCCAACAAGTTCTCTGTTCTTTCTCTCTCCAGGATAAAATATTATTTTATATAAATTATTGATTTGATAATGCGAATATAATCGGTTTGATAGAGACTGTTCATGAGGGATGACAGAAAAGCTAAACAGCCCTCACGCCCCTGACGCGTTATTAAGCGGTACTCCATCAACACTTTATGTCCTTGAATCAATGATACCGTACCGAAGGACCAGAAAAATTTACCAGCACTAAAATAAAGCACGGGACAACATTTTACAACTCCTACAATGCACTTAGCGCCCGCTGCTTTTAAATTGAACAATGAAATATTCAAAAGAGGGATGTATAAATACATCATCGAGCTTTTTACATTTTGACAAGTGCTTTCATAACAGTATTTGCTGTTATTTAAACAATTAATTTCATTTTGTATGACAATTTTGTTATTAACAGTTTCTTTATTCCAAAACTATTAAAGTTGTGTTTTAACAAAAAGCCATTATGTAGCAACTATGTCTATGCACAGCACTTATTAAATCCATAAATGTGTGAAGTTTTATAACGTCTAGCTCATTATTTACGAATTATAAACGATGAAAGAGAATCGTTGTTTTCCATAAAATGCAATTATTTTAAACTGTTAAATGTCTGTTCGGACAATAAAAAATAATTTATACAATAGTATAACAGATATCTAGAAAAGTATTATACAAAATAACAACTTATTTTATATGCATAATATGCAATTAATGATTATTAAGTTTGTTTTTAAGTTCGTTATTTATTTATAAAAAAATATTAATTTCTGCCTTCAATGATAAATTGTTCTTTTAATTTTAACATTTTTCTATCATTTTTTATCATAAAGAATAAGGTTTATCGTTCAGTTTTGCCTAACCATAAAAAAAGAAAGAAAAAAAAAGAGAAAAAAAGAAAACAAACAAATAACACTTGTATAATTGTTTTTTCTATATTTAAACCACTGTTGTTTATCATAACCGACGAACTCCTCCGATTTACTGCCAAAATCAGAACAGTTTTTTTTTCAATAGCAAGAATTTCCGATTAAAATACCTAAACGGTTTTCTTATACATTCTTGTTTTTTATATAACTACAATAATACAACTCGTTGACAAATACATATACAAGATTATTCTCTCTCCAAATACTTCTCTCATATGATAAACAAGATCAACAAAGAAAGACGGCGTTCAATGAATGCAAAATAGGAAGAAAAAAAAAATCAAAAGTCTTATACACACCACAAATTCTTATAATTCAAATGTTTGAGATCGTGGACATAAACAATGCATTTATTGTTTAGAATATTTAAATAATTTATTGTATAGAATATCTAAATAAATATGTATGTGAGTGTAATACTATTTTGTGTACGCTCTTATTCAACAATAAGTTCAAATAGATGCACTATGGAGTTAAAACTAAATTGCAGGATACCCTTTGTAATTGAGTAAGTTTTACTTCATATTGTTTTATAAGAGTACAATGGAACAAAAGCTATGTGGGATGCTCTAGGTGACATTGTGCTCTTCGAACGATGCCGACAAATTTAGAAGAATATGTATGCAAGTTTCTGTGAGCAACGCTGCTTGTTTTTTTTATGTAGTAACCCAGGACAATATGAAAAAGAGGTAGACTTTCCAGCCGTCATTTAGTATTATAGACTCACGTACCATAACATCCTTCCATACTTTGTCCACTTTAAATGCTACAGTAACGTTAGGATTGCACGTGAGCAGTTTATGGTAGAAAATGATACCAATCTTTAGTGACAGATATCGTGTTAATAAGACAGTTTCCTAAACGCCATGTTATATGTATTTATTTATTTGAAATCAAACCATGACCTTTGTCTTAACCTTTCGCCATTAATGACAGTAATTATCCTAAAAAGAAGACAGCACGTACCTGTCCTATGTCGCAAGTGCTGGTGACAAAACACTTAGCACTGTGTATTGGCAATTTGATTTTTGTGTACGACAATATAAAGCAAACCCGCAACTTGAAGTCGGATAAGAAATAACATGTCATTATACGCAATATTTCATTATAAAAATAAGTTTGTTTCCATGTTGATCAAATCCCATAGTAATTAGACAGATGTCCTACCCCTTATAGAGAATGATCGCAACATGAAACAATAAATACATTCTAATTGTTTACAAAAATGTAAGAATAATAACTAATTTTCGTGTGTTTTAAATATATTTTATTAACAAAAACTGAACAATGTTGTGGTTAAAATTAACAGAACGACCCCGGGTCAAACCCCGGGCTCTGCAAAATTCATATCAATAATTGTTGCTTTTCGGTGCTTCAAAAGGGATAAACCTCCTTTTCCATAATTCTGACATGTTTGAGTCTTACAAGTGTTTCAGAATGTCAAAACAAAAAATCTAAACAACTAACAATTAAGGTAAATGAAACTTTCTTTCTAAATATGAATTATTTATCGAAAATCAGCATAGTGGTATATTATGGAGGGGTTTTTGGTTCAAAAAAAAAATATATCAGCTACTTAACAAAACATCGTCTATGAATTTAATGAACGATTGTACCATCTTAGATTTTAAACTTTAAAGTGGATTTCTAAAAGATTGCAAATATAAAAAAGTTATTTCCCAAAAGACAAATCCTTTTCATCCATTAATTAATCCAGCCACATACAAACAAACTAAACAAAAACAAATCAAATAACAACAACAAACAAAATTAACAAAAAACGTGGGTACCATCCGTAAATAGTACAACTGTCTTATAATTACAAATATATTTGATATAACACCAAGTTTTCTTTCAAGAGTGGTTTTCATATAAACAGTTATTTCTATAAACATATGAAATTTTATAGATTTCACATCTGTATTCATTGGCCATCCGCCTGTATCTTTCATTCCACGATAGAAACTTGTTGATGAAATTAAAACGGCATTCTTTAACGTTCCAAATACAGAATCTGCATGTTAAAATAGAGCCTGTAGTGTGACATAGTAATCCAAATAACTGTATGATTCGTCGCCATTTGGTTTCCACCGATCCAATAGAATCAGTCAACGAAAGAAATTCGTAAATAAAGAAAGGCAAATGAAGACAAAAATTCAAGGTTGATAATTTCAAAACTACTTGAGTAAACCTTGATATGAGTTTACCACTTTGTCGGTGGCGTTTCTTTCTGTTCTTGTGAAGAAGGACAACGGTTGAAACTTGTGCCGAAATAAACATGAGACAGAAAATAACAGAGAGAACTAACTGTGACAGTTGTACTGCGTAAGCGCACAGCAGAAAGTTGTTTAACTCGCATGAGTGTTCTCCGTTTATCAAGATGTAAGTCCATGACAAA